CCCGTCTCGTCCGGCACATCCGCATCTCACTCTCAACGCTCAAGGCGACGGCGGCCGAAATCGCCGCTACTCCGCTCTACAAACACTATAACTCCGTCCACAAGAAGTGGTACCACGTCAAACCCAAGTTCATCACCGATGCCCTTCGAGTTGCCGCAAAGCGGCTCGAACGGACTACCGGAATCTCCCACAAGAAGGTGTCCGCTCGCTCCCTTCGTCCGGGCGGCGCCACTGCTCTCCTCTGCGCCCATGTTGACTCGGATGCCATCCGCCTTCTCGGTCGATGGAAGTCCGACGCCATGTTGCGCTATCTTCGAATCCAGGCCGCCACCATCACGCACCACTACTCCCAGAAAATGCTGGCCCATGGTGCCTACACCTTCCAGGCGGGATCCTACGACAAGTTCCTCCCGCCTGCTCAGGCGCCTGCTACTATCGCAGAGATCCTCCTTCACGCGGAACTCTACGAGGACTAACCTCCCTTAGTCCAAATCTCCTGAGAGACCTTGCCTCCTCTCGGTCTCTCCAATTTTTCCCACCCCGCTACGCTCCCACCCTGTTCTGCCTTTGGCTATTTGGGTTGGCCGAATGTCGCACAATCACGCGGGACTCACATCCCGCGGGACTGCCTCATTCGTGCCTTGGTTCCCGCTCGGGATTCTAGCAATCACGAGCGGCACCCCTGGGTTGCGGAGACGGTCGGCTCAGTAAATGGCCGAGTCTCTCCACCACCCTATCCTACTACTCTACTCAACTAGTCGTGCTGTGCTGCTCTAGGCGAGCGCCGCTTGTCGGCGCTCGCCCAGGCTGCCTTTCATATAGATCTGCTGGAATCCGAAATCCTGCATGAATCGATTTTTATTAAGGAGAGAAATCATTGATTCTTTTACGATTTTGTTGGACGAGAAAACGTTTTCCCTTTCGGCTGTAGTGCATGCATACATCCTGTGATTACTCGGAGGATATTGTTACTAACTAGACTACTGAATTCAAGTCGTTGCAACAAACCACTAGCTCGATGCTCCGTCCTACCGTCCCGTTACGCAGTAGAGGTTCTTCACTGGCTGGGACGCCTCCAGAACAAAAAACTCTTCCTGTCAATATCAGTTAGTTGTTGCTCTTGCTTGCCAAAGCTCTTGGAGGACACAGTTATTTGTTCTTTTGCTAATTGTCGTCATTGATACCGATGGTGTTGTCGGCATTTTCTTCGCTGCAATATACGTTCGGTAGAAATTGCTGCCCGTATGCAATCCACCAGTCATTTAGTTGTTGCTGCTCGAAGCAAGCAAGCAAGTAAGGAGGCAAGCAACCAAAGCCAACACTTTTTGAATTTTTCCTGAGTGCCCTTTGTCTCTGAGAGCATCGCCCCCGAAACCTTCATGGATGGCAAAAGTCGAAGCAATCCTTTGCTTGGGCCAACCGTTAGAACGTGTCATTGCTTGGAAATCACTGATGCATGCTCCTGCAAGATGAAAAATCTCGTGTCAAAGAAATTTTTTCCTACGATGATTTCTTGGAACCCTCCATACAGAGACCATCATGGTGGGCTTTGGATGTGTGCTTGGCCTACTAGACTAACTAACTGGCTTGCTAGCTAGCTAGCAGCCTGGATCCGAAAAAAGTACCCTCAACACCGACAACTTCCCCAAGGATCCGAGAGTCTTGAACTGCCATGTCGTCCTCTACAAGCTTCCCTATTGGCCCTCAATATTATTGAATGAGCTCAGTGATTTCTCGAGGCCGGAAAGATAACCCGTGCATTGGAACATTTGCGGGTGAAGATCTGGATGACAAAACGGGAAAGGTAGTTGAGGAAACTATAAGGTCAAAGATAAACTTAACTTTGAAGTTTTAAATAAAAAATATATGTTACCACATCTACCTTGCTTCAATAGCTGTCTCAGCCACAACGCAAGGGCCACGATAGCACGCGCAGTACGTCAACACGAGGAGCAACTGTGCTTTCTGCTTCTTCCCTGTAAAGTAATGTACTGGAGCACCTACGTCACTGTGTGGCTGTGGTGAGTGCGTGGTCAACGCGCGGTCATTTGATTGCCTGCAATGACGCGTAGAAATGTAGGGCTGCCCAGTACTGTACTGGATGAAAGGCGGCCAACCGATGATAAAAAAACAATTCGGTTTTGGCTTCCCACAACTCAAAGACCCTTGTCTTTTTTTTTCTTGGTAAGCTTGGTTTGTTGGTTGGGGCAATGACTGGCTGTGCGCTGTGCGTGGTTGACGGAGGAAATGACGGTGGAGGATTGACAAGAAGACAACAATGACAGTGATGGATCATCAGCAGGAGCGCAACTCCCGACGGCTCGCCAGTTCCAATGATTTTCCTGTCTTCCCCCAAAGACTTGGGAACTCTGGAAAGAGAGCCGTTGAAAAAGATTTCTCATGAGAAAATCTTATGGAGTCTCGATGCCTCAGACGATGAGACACAACACAAAAAGACACTGACTGAGAGGATGGAATGGAAGTGAAATTCACTACAGCCTCTCAGCTCACTCTATACTGTCGGTCTCTTGGTCTTCTTCCGCCGTCGGTCTTTTCGGAATTTTCTCGCAATTCCCTCGCGACCATTAGATTTTTTGCGACTCTCCACTGAAACAATTGACTCTTGCTGTGCCATCAGTTTCTCACATTGTGTTTCCCTCCTCTCTATTTATTTTTGACAGCCTCTTTTAAAATAATTTTCTCAAAATGTCGAGCTCTTCTGAATTTATGATCAATTTCCTTGCCGGAGGTGTCTCTGGTGCTGTCGCCAAGACATGCACGGCCCCCATTGAGCGTGTCAAGTTGCTCATCCAAACTCAGGATGCCAACCCCAAGATTATTTCCGGAGAGGTCAAGCGTTACACTGGAATTGTCGACTGCTTTGTCCGTGTCTCCAAGGAACAAGGAATCAAGGCTTTCTGGCGTGGAAACTTGACAAACATTATCCGTTATTTCCCCACCCAAGCGTTCAACTTTGCCTTCAAGGATACCATCAAGGCCATGTTCCCCGCAGCGGACAAGAGGACTGAATTCGGAAAGTTCTTTTTGATCAACATGGCTTCGGGAGGTTTGGCAGGAGCTGGATCCCTCATGATTGTCTACCCCTTGGATTACGCCCGTACTCGTTTGGCTTCCGATGTCGGTACTGGAAAGCAACAGTTCAACGGTCTTATCGACTGTCTCACCAAGACTGTCAAAACGTCCGGTCTTGGAGGTCTGTACAACGGTATTGGAGTCTCCGTCACCGGTATCATCCCCTACCGTGGAGTCTACTTTGGTCTCTTTGACACACTCTCGGGATACAACCCCTACCAGAAAGACGAAAATGGTATCTTGCGTGCTGCTTCCAAGTTCGCGTGTGCTCAAGTGTCTGCCATTTCTGCCGGATACGCTTCATATCCTTTCGATACTGTCCGTCGTCGTCTGCAGATGCAGTCCGAAAAGCCCAAGGAAGAGTGGGTCTACCAAGGAACTGCCGACTGTTTCAAAAAGATTATGAAAGATGAAGGAACTGCCGCTCTCTTCAAGGGAGCTGGTGCCAATGCTCTTCGTACGGTTGGTGCTGCCATGGTCCTTGTGTTGTACTCGGAGATCACTGCCGCCTTTGCCCCCAAATAAGCGCAAGCGCGAACAATACCAAGACCGCTGCCACCACGAGCCTCCCCCAACAGGAGGATGGAGTGTGGATGATGTATAGGAATGGGTTGGAACATAGTATCCCAAAAATATTCTACTACTGGACCGAGATGATGATGATGATGATCACGGTCTCGTGTGTTGGGTGATTTGGTTGGATGTTCTCTCTATTAATGAATACGGAGCGAGGAAGTCCTTTTGATTGCTTGAAGAGTCGAGTGCTTCGGAGGAGCTAACTAATAGTTGTGTTTATGGATAAATGTCTGTTATCAATTCGCTTCTTTGTGTCCTTTACAGTGGGACGTCCTAGGTTCTAGATTCTATGCCACCCTCATGTATCATGCACAATAGTCGGCACCGTTGATGTCATTAGTTAGGACTATGCATAGTTTCTTCCATCAAAAATGGACTTGTACCTGCCCAGGTTTCCGAAAGAGTGTCCCATCTCTCTGATAGACTCTCTACTCTATTAGCTGGATAGCTGGATAGCTAGGCCACTTGTTTTTGTTTCTATCTTCCCATAGGTTTTTGGTGGGCCGCCGTATTGGTCTCATTTTATTTTTTGTCATTGTGCTGTTTTCTTCTCTGATGAAAGGTCAAGTGCGCACCTCGCTACAATTATGCCGGTACTTCAAGACGCACAGAGACTCCAAAAAGAGGGACCATGGGAAATGGATTGGAACGCGCTATTTTTCTTTGGTTTCGTAGAGGAAAGAGCCCCCCCTGTTAGTAGCTTGGACAGAAGCATCCCAACAAGAAGATACCACCATGGCCAATTCATCTCTCCCAGCAGCACCCGTCTCCAAGGCTCAAGTAGCCAAAGACTGGGCTCGAATCATGCAGGGCGACGACAGCGAAGACGAGAGCGACGAGGATCCATACAAACAACAGCATCCACGCCACAGCAGCAACAGTAACCTTTCCACGCCTACCAAACGGAAACCGTATCGTCGTACCAAACGTCCCAAGAACTACAATGACAAGTCCACCATCACCACAGCCACGCCGATTGCCAAGCAAGAGAAATCCAATGTCTTTGACACGGTATTGGGAGAAGCCGAAGATTTGTTGCGTGCCGCCACCGATGCACAGTCGCTAGGGCGATTGAAAATGGCATCCAACTATCTACTGCTGTTGCACACTCGATTGGTCGGGCTGGGAAAGAAATTTGATCGTTCCAAAGTCGCTACGTTTCATGAGGAAGGATTGACACCCAAAAAGTTGGACATGTCATCGCCCAAGAGAAAGAAGAAGGATCAGGATGATGACGATAGTGATGCGGAAGAACAATTAGCTACTATTGGTGAGAATGATGATGATGAGGAGGAGAGTGGAGACGAGGGAGACCTGTCAACACCGCGAAAGAAGAAACCCAAAGTGCCACCCAACAATGTCATATCAGAGGCGGCACTCAATCAACTCACAAACTTTCTTCCAGAAAACATTGAAATGGATCAAGGTAAGATACAACTTGCTTGCTTACTTACTTTTTCATGAGAGATGTTTGTTTTGGAGATGGTGATGCTGTTACAATGGGCAACACTCTATCCATAGACTCAAGTGTTTTCAACTCATTCGTTCTTTCTGCTTCCTCTATTCATCTTGCTACTTCCTTTATCTACTATATAGCCATGGTGGAACACTTGGCAAGGGCGGCTGCGGAACTGCATCAAAAACGCACGGGAAAGAAAAACACGGACGAAGGATTACTCAATTCACCTGCCATCAACACGGAAGAAGTCTTTCATTACAATCGTGAACCCGACCAAATTGGAAGCTCCCCTGCCCCAGGCGGTCCTTCGCCGGCCAAACGCAAACTTCCTACTACGACAGCAACAGCAACAACCGCTCCTTGGACGCAGGACGAACGGGAACGATTCCAAGCCGCCTTTCGTTGTACACCAGACCCCACCAAGATTGCACAACTCATGGGAACTCGAGACGAATCTCAAGTATTGGCGTACATGAGCGATCCTGCCGTCATGCTTATGGCGCAACAGGAAAAGGTGGAGGAAAAGGAAGCAGCCGATACACCCCGCAAAAAGGGTGGCCGAGGTCGCAAACCACCGACCACGGCCATGAATACCGTCCCCAATGCCAATGTGGATGCCAAGGACTTGCTCAAGGGGGTCTCGTTTGGATTTTAGTTATAATATTAGAATCCGACGTGTAGCTTGGGTGCATATGTATGGTTGTTTGGCATCGGTGCTATCAATGTGAGGCGTAATCTCAGTGGTGCTGCGGGCTGCAGCAGGCGTACAGTTAGTGATGCCAGGGTATTTTGAATAGTTAATAGATACCAAACTCATAATTTTATTTGATTGGGAGTTTTCTACAGACTAGCTAGCCCTTATGCATTAGTATCAGTAATTTGGTTACCATACGGTACGGTAGCTCACCGTATCTCCGAGTAAACCTGTGTCGCCTCCTTGCAAGCAATAGGAGCCCAGTGAAGCGCCGAAAGAAATCGGAAGCAGATTTGTTCTGTTTTGGTTTTGTAGTGCGCCTTCGGTAAATTTCTATATTTCTGTGATCAATGTTTATTGCGGTTTCATCCGACCAACTCGATAGTGTAATGAGTCGGTTGTTGCGCTGACAAGTACGAAACTAGCTAGCCACATGTACATGTAGCTAGCTAGCTTAGATATCTTCATCACTGGCAGTTGGCGGAAGAGCGGCTACTATTCCCGAAAAGAGTGAATCGCGTCGTTTTTTGTTGTTCTCCTGCAGAGTCAACGAGGGTCGTTTGGCAGCCCGTGTCATGGTACCGTCGTCCAGAACGAGTGACGGTCGCTTGGCCGATCTCGTACCAGTAGTAGCAGTGGATTGTTGTTGTTGTTGTGGTTGAGGTGGTGGCGGCGGTGATTGCGGTTGAATGGTGGTATGTATGAGCGACGGTCGTCGTTTGGAAGTAATGGACGCCCGCTGCGCCTGCGAACTAATCTTACAACAGACATCCATTTTCCCCACGAGCATACAATCTTCCAATTTATTTTCTTCTTGCAAATGCTCATAAAGCTCCCATGGTTTGGTTCGTTTTCGAGAGGATCGTGAATTGTTGTCGGCACTGCCGCGCGAGTCTCCTGCCAACGACGTGGATGTCGAACGATGGACGTCTTCGTCGGGCTCGGATTCGTAGGATTCGAGTGTGGCGAGTACGGCGCTCTTGAGAAGATCAGAATGACAGGCACCACCACGACGCGATTGACACGAGCGGTGTTTGCGTCGTTCCGGGGACATGTGGTCCATGACGGCATGCGGTCGCGGAGGGGGCGTCTTGTGTAAAAAGGCCAGATTGGGTTCGTAGTCGTCCATCATGGAAGACGACGTCGAGGAGGAATCGTCGTCACCCTCGTCCACCGTATCGAGTTCTTGTGTAGCCTTGCTGGGTGCTTCTTCTTGGCTGCTGGACTGATCTTCCTCTTCTTCATTGACGTCGTCGTCAACATGATCTACTTCGTGAGGATCGTCAAAGGAACTCGGAGATTCAAAGGAATCCTCCAAGCGAGCGGTTGTGGCTGTCGATGCTGGGCTCGCCGCAGTACTACTACCAAACGCCACGCGACCATTCACATACGACGAGTGGCGTCGGATGGGAGTCTCCGTGCTCCAATACAACGTGCTACTGCTAGTTGCCGACATCGTCGACGGATTGGACTTGATTTGATTTGATTTGATTCACTTCACTTGGATGATGATGTGATGACAGCAAGCTCAAACAAAATGAATGAAAGGAAAAGTGGACCCTGAAAAAGTCAGCGGAATTGGCGTCTTGTACAGTGGTCAAAAGGGTCGAAAGAATAGAAGATACACCGGGGCCGGTTGTTGTGTCCGTGTCGTGAGTTCAGAGCAGCAACGGCGCACAGGAACAAGGCAGAGCGAGAAGAGAGATTGTGGATTGATCTTGTACTGAGGCCACCACTGTACGGCAGCAAGGCAAGGAGATTACGGGAACGAGCACACCAGTTGTTACAATAGAACCTGCAGCAACTCACTGACTGCTGAAGAGGACTTGCTTCTGCCAGTGCAGCACGCAACAGGTTGGAGCCGCTAGTTTGTCACCGTCTTTTGTTGCTTTGGGAGTGCTGCAAGTTGCAAACGCTTTGCAGTCCGATCCGAAACAGCATTAAACAACTTTAGTCGTGGTGTTCGCAATCTTTCAGCCATCTCCAGCAACAATTAAATCCAAAGATCATTCTTCCAACCTTCTGGCGGCTTCTGGAGACCCCTTCTTTTAATGACTGGAAGATCACTATTTCTTTCATGTCACAGTGATATTTTTATATATTAGAGGATTTTACGGTGGAACAGAAGCTTTCTCTTCTTTGGTACGTACCAAAACACCCTCATTGCACTCATCACTCATCACCCATTCAAAGCCCCGCCGTAAACCAGCAAAACCACAAGAAACAAGAAGCATCCCACAGCTGATTGATAGGGTGCCCATCATGGTTCCAGTTCCCCGATACCGTATACCGGGACCACAGCCAGCTGTGTTCAAGGTTTCTTGAGGACAGATCGATTGTTACGCTTCGAGACAACCATCATCCTTATTATTACCATCAGATCAGATAGTACTAAGGAACATAATCATGATGGAGCTGATGGAGCTCGTGGAACTCAAATCGAGCCAACAGCAGCCAGTCAATCATGATCAGGAAGAAAGAACAACACCTATAGGTACCTTCCCAGGGTAGTTTCAACACAAGAACATTCAGTGGCACAGCCTTGTCGGGTAACAATACCAACAGAGATCGGTCAATTGCAGGATCTTCAGTCTCTTCGATTTGCTATGGCCCATATTCAGGGAAGCATACCTTCTGAAGTTGGCCAACTACGCAACCTCTCAAGATTGCTTTTGTTACAAGCAGATCTGACCGGTAAGTCTCTCAATCTTTGACATGCATGAATGCTGCAACATCCCCCCTTCGCGAATTCCAACCAGGTACCGTACCGGGTGAGATTTTCCTTTTGTCTGCCCCAACATCTTTAGCAATTCAAGAGTGTCCGGGGTTGAACACTGAATACACCCTTCAAGAAGCCATCATTCAATCACAACACCTGAAACACCTGTTCCTGTCAAATCGAACTGCTGGGGCAGAGATGTCAATTCCATGTAAGAGTTCATGCTGGCATGAACCTTAGCACAGATTGTTTCAATGATCACAATGGCAGACAAATTTCTCCTATTTTCTATCAAAAGCTGAAATTGGAACTTTGACTGAACTAAAACACCTGATGTTAAATAAGTGGAGAAAGTTTGGCACAATGCCAACTGAGTTTGGAAGGTTGACAAAACTGGTAAGCAGCTGTTTTAGGTCCAGCAGTCATGTCTACTTCGGAATCATTGCAACTATGCTAATGTTGTACATATCTACAGTCCTCTCTGGAGTTACATGATAACTCAATCGTTGGAGTGTTGCCCCATGAGTTCTTTGAGCTGACTTGTAAGTATTGAAATGCGCTTTGGCCTAGCCCTTCTTCACTTGTTGCATCAGTTTCCACTGCTGCAGCAAATGTTACCCATGACATCTGTTTCTACTGCACCTTACATATCCTTTCCTTATATCAGATCTGAGGAGTTTACATCTTGGCTCCAACCAGTTGGAGGGAATACCACAACCTGATTTCTTTTCAAAACTAACCCAGCTAAAACACTTGCGCCTCAATGGCAACCACTTCTCAGGCAAAATTCCAACTGAGGTTGGTCTACTGTCTAGTCTTGTGAGACTAGAACTGCAGAATACCAACCTCCTTGGGACACTTCCCACAGAGTTGCTTCAGCTGGAAAACTTGACCAGCTTGGTAGTCACAAACACATCCTTGTCAGGCAGCATCCCTGAAGAGCTGTGTGACCAAATGTACCGAAAGGAATGGAACTGCCTTGGCAGTCCACACTGTCTTGCGACGGTGAAAACCAACACAACAGCCTGCCACTGAACCTCCCTGTTTGGGTGTGATTGTGGTCCTTGTCCTGTACCGGTAGACTAAGCAATCAGATCTTTTGACCATGCCCTGGCACCACCAATGGGTAGCTTTGTAACTTATTTTGCCAGTTAGCTTTCTCGTATGCATCTAGAATTTAATGACCAAATCTGACATCTGACTAATCTTGGGAATGCCACGAAGAAGACAAGCCCCTACACCAACACACACGGTCAGCATGTCAACAAAGGCGCCACCAGCCATTCCCGAGCTTGTGGATTTGTCGACCTAGCTAGCAAGTCTGCAAATCTTCAGACCACATTCCCTTCAGCTATTGGTACAAGTCAGGAGGGGCTTCCGAGACCTAAATAATGGGCTGGCATCCACACTTGCCCTCTCGCCCACCTTTGCACTTCCCCCTATGATTCAATTCCTCCTTTCCCCTATCGCCTCCTTAACCTAATGTCATTTATTTCATTTGTGCATAGTTCGCTCCAACTGGGTGTGCAATTACAAAAACTCTGGACGATCTCAGCCAAAGCTTCAGTCGATCGATCGATCGCTAGTACTACTCGAGTAGCTACTACTGCTGTTACGATTAAGCCTACCGGTAACACCAAGATGGTATTTTTGAAGGCGCATCAATGATTTCCCTGCCTCGTTTAAGAAATCCAAGGTGGGCGCGACAATTGTAATCGGAGTGTCTTGATGAATCATTGGTTTGCTTTTTCAGCAACCATCAAGAACTGCATGCTCCGCCACTCTGAAAATAACTAACTAAAGAGAGGGTTTTATGGAGCGCGAGGGGCTAAGCTAGTAGCAGAGGAGGGCACCTGCGGTGCTGGGAAGTCGCTCCCGAGGACTACTTGAGGAGGCTGCTAACTCCAGCCCTATCACCAGCCTGAACAGATCGCCGTCGAGTCATTCGGCTTTTTTTCAGCGTTCGTCTCCTGTTTCCTCAGTTACATGCAATCCAGCCATTATAGCCAGCTACCGGTAAGGTACCGTAGGCAGAGAGTTACATCAATCCGTGACAGTGGCAACAGTACCGAACACACTCAGGTTCTGCTTTACTGGCTACACTCCGTTACCGGTACCTTGCATTGGATCCTTATCACGAATACATGCACAACCGAACATTGTCAATCCAGCCATCGTAGCCAGCTACCGGTAGAGTTCATCGATCAGTGACAGTGGCAACAGTACCGAACACACTCAGGTTCCGCTTTGCTGGCTACACTCCGTTGCCGGTATCTTGCATTGGATCCTTATGACGAATACATGCACAACCGAACATTATGAATCCAGCCATTGTAGCCGACTGCGGTATATCTACATCGACGATAGTGGCAACAGTACCAAAAGTTCGGCTTTGCTCGCTACGGTTACCAGTACCTCGCATTGGATCCTTATGACGAATACATGCACAACCGAATATTGTCAATCCAGCCATTGTAGCCAGTAACCGTATAGTTACATCGGCAACAGTACCGAACACACTCAGGTTTCGCTTTGCTCGCTACGCTCCATTACCTCACCATTACCTCACCATTACAATGAGTACAGGAATAGTATCAAGCCAGGCGCCACGAGCACTGTTCCCGCAGGAAAATGGATATCGACACAGAAATCACCACCAAACCACTAGGAAATAACAAGGAGGGATGAATCCAGTCGGAGGATCCACTCTCCACTGTGCTTGTGTGTTGTCGTGTAGCCTCCTTCGCTTGATGGCTGTTGCCATTCAATGACTCGATTCAGGCTGTTGGTAGGGCTGGAGTAAACAGTTTCCTCCGTACACATACCTCCGTAGCGGTAGCCTCTTCTTCCTCATGTTATTCGGAGCGATCAATCGTTCGTTGGACCGCGACAATGGTAATTCATCGGCCGTCAGCAGTACAGCAGAGAAAACAACAAATACATATGAGTTTTGTTTTCTGTGCTCAACTGCAGACGACCGGAGACTTACCATTGTTTTTCAAATTGCACCAACTTGGCCGTCATGGGCCGAGAACTGACTGCCATCCCAAAATGGTACAATTTCAATGGGGATGGCTTTCGAATCTGTACCAGAGTCAACCGGCTTGAGTGAGACTTGGATAACAGAGATAATAGAGGTGCAAACGATCGACTCGAATAATTAAAACAACTCGCCTGTTGACGGCCAAGCTCGGAATTCTCTCCTGTTTACCATAGGAATTGAATGAGGGAGAGAAGTCACCGCTGTACCTTCAATTAACACTCTTGATAATAGGCTTACCTCATTGTGATCGATTCGATCCTCCTACCGGTACTAGTAGACTAGCTACCACACTGTTGTCGGCCAAGCTTGGATTTCTCTCCTGTTTACCATAGGAATTCAATGAGGGAGAGAAGTCAGTGCTGCGCCTTCAATAATGGACTTTAGCCTTTAAAACCTTAGTAACTTCAAAGGTTCTTTTTATCCACGAATCGATCTAAATCTTTCGAAGCACATGACCGTTGATTCTGCAACTGAAGTGCGGGTACACTAATTTACACAGTAAACGCGAGCCAATCGATTTCAGAGTGCAACTGAGGGGGTAACCAAAAGGTGCGTCGTCTCATGGAGACGAAATTGAAAGGAGGCTACACGACAACGCACAAGCACAGAGGAGAGTGGATCCTCCCATTCTTGGATTCATCCCTCCTTATTTCCTAGTGTTTTGGTGGTGATTCCTGTGTCGGTACCGGTACCCCCTGCACCCCCTTTCCTGGTGCACGAGTCCTCGGGCGACCGATAGAATAGCCAGATCGTAATTGCCAACCAAACAGGCAATACGAACCCATTTCATGAGATCGATCGATAGCAGAGGATGTCAGCTGATCTCATAGATTGCTACCGGTACGACCGCAAGGTTCTCGATCTCACACTCTCTGGCTTTTTATCAATTGCAGCAAAAAGTGAGTATTCTAAATATAATTTACTGGGATTGACAGAGTCAACCCATCAAGCCACAGTTCTGTTGCCTCGTGCGAAGTACTAGCTACTAGCTAGTACTGTAGTACTGTACGTACTAGCCGGGTACAGTACGGGACTTGCCGCCAGAGCAAATGAATAATGCACAAGGAGTTTACTAGTACTATCTTCTCACACTAAGAGCTCCACTAAGTCTTTTCACCTTGCACAAACCACACCTACCGGTACAGTACCTGGGTACCTTGAGAACTACTGAGTACAAATTACAAATCGAGGTGTTCTTGACTTCTTTTAAGTCTCGACTCGACGCTTCTAAGAACATCCTACCTGGACGGAACCACCATCCTTATACTGTATTATGACTTCTTGACAGCCAACCCCGCGAAAACAGCTCCCAAACCACCGTGACACTCATGAACTATAGAAGGCAACAAAAGAGGCCACCGCTGCCACCATGGAGCTCTGCGCATTGGCATACTAGTCTTGACAAACATACCGATGGCGCTGCCGTTACCGCTCTGTTCAGCATTCATGAGAGGAGACTTCTATCAAGACAGATGCATCAGATGGTAATAACCACGATGATTGAGTTGCTATAGGATATTGCCCAACACTTGCCTTTTTCCAACCGATTCAGCTCAGCTCAATCTGGAGCTCTTGGGTCGAGAAAAACCTCGACAATGGTGCAGACGGATGTTGTAGAACTCGTGGAACTCAAAGAGAGCCGACAGCAGCCAACCGGCAATGTCAGAGAAAGAACAAAGTACACCTCCCCAGGGAATTTTTGCTGCGGGAACATGGCAAGAAGCTACCCAAACTCCACCGGCCATGGGAATACCAGTCATCCCAGAAACACCACAGGAAGAAAGTCCTCCTTTTCTGGCGCCAGAAGATAGAGAAGTCGCTTTTCCTGGTGCATTTCGTGTAAATGGGCCTGCCAACCAGGACAACAACGTCCAACAGGAGATTCCCCAAGCACCCATTGATGCTCTTGTTACACATAGCATCGAAGACTGTGACGAGGAAGTTACCAACATGCTAAATCTCAGAAGCCCAGCACAACCAAACCAGAGGTCAAGAAAATACTGGAGGCAAAGGCTTCTTCATCTTCTTTCATTGGAAATCAATGTGGTTCTCTTGGCAGTGATAATGGCTCTCCTGATATTTGTGGCAGTTTCGGAGGGAGGAAACACCAGCAACAGCAGCAACAGCAACAACAGCCAATCGATAAACCAACAAAATGGGGCACTTCAAGTTCCAGCAACGGCAGGCGTGGCAAAATTGCCAACAAGGGCACCAGCAAGCTTTTTGGATTCGCTAAACCTATCAGAATCTACACTATCAGCCATGGAACGTGAACAGTCACCTCAGTCCAAAGCCTACAAATGGCTGACTAGCAACCTCAACAACCAAAGCTCTACCCAGCAAGATCTTCCAAATTGGAGACTGGTGCAAAGGTTTGGTCTGGCCACATTCTACTATTCCACAGGGGGGGACTATTGGGTGAGACATCGTGGCTGGTTGGACTGGGACACCAATGAATGCCGCTGGGAACAACTATTTATTGACTCTTCAGATGCAAGCTGCAATAATAAGGGAGAAATCAAAGCATTGGAATTTTCTAGAGCCAACAACATGGATGGAACCATTCCACCAGAGGTATCATTGCTGAGCAGAAGCTTGCAGTCATTCCACGTGAATCGGCAATTGGAACTCAAAGGAACGATCCCAACTGAAGTTGGGCTGCTTTCGAGATTGACCATGTTGATATTGAGTGGCACAGCTTTATCAGGTACACTGCCAACAGAGATAGGTCAACTGCAGGATCTTCAGACTGTTCGAGTTTATTGGACAGGACTTCATGGGTGTATTCCATCTGAGCTTGGCACATTGGGGAACCTTTCCAGAATTGGTGTCGCAGAAGCAGATCTTACAGGTAAGTCTCCCAATGAGTTGCATTCGTGGATCCAGCATCAAACTTCTTCCCCTCATTAGATCCTCAAACAAAGGTTCAGTGCCGGATGAAGTATTCCAGTTGCCAAGCCTGAGATCTCTAGAATTATTGGAGTGCTCTGGATTGAATACTGAATTCACCCTTCAAGAAGCCACTATTCAATCAAAATACCTGAAACAGTTGTTCCTGTCGGGTCGAACCGTTGGGGCAGAGATGGCAATTCCATGTAAGAGTGTGTGAATCTTAGCAGAGATTGTTTATAATCACACAATGGCTGACAACTGCCTCCCGTTCTCTATCAAAGCTGAAATTGGTACTTTGACTGAGCTAAAACACCTGACATTAAATGACTGGAGAAATTCTGGCACGATTCTAAGTGAGTTTGGGAGGTTGACAAAACTGGTAAGCAACTGTTTTGGTTCCAGGGGTCATGTCTACTTTGGAATCATAGCAACTATGCTGATGTTGTACATATCCACAGGCCTCTCTGGACTTACGTGAAAACTCAATCGTTGGAACATTGCCACATGAGCTCTTTGAGCTGACTTGTGAGTACTGATGACGTGCCATGGCTGTATCGTTCGTCGCTTGTTGCATCAGTTTCCACAAAAAGTTGCTGTGAATGTTACTTCTCTGCTGTCCTCGTGACGTTTCGGCTGTACTCATGACATCTGGTTCTGCATTGCATTACCTATCCTTTTCTTCCTTCCTTCAGATTTGAGCAATTTACAGCTTGGCTCCAACCAGTTGGAGGGACTACCACCACCTGGTATTTTTTCAGCCCTCACCAGATTAAATATCTTGCAACTCAATGACAACCACTTCTCAGGCAAAATTCCAACTGAGGTTGGTCTACTGTCTAGTCTTGTGAGACTAGAACTGCAGAATACCGACCTCTTTGGGACACTTCCTACAGAATTGCTTCAGCTGGAAAACTTGACTAGATTGGTAGTCACAAACACATCCTTGTCAGGCAGCATCCCTGAAGAACTGTGTGACAAAATGTACCGAAAGGATTTCAAATGCTTTGGAAATCATGATCCACCATGTAGATGGATCCCAGTGAAGACCAACACAACCGTCTGCCATGGAACTTCCCTGTGTGGATGTGATTGTCGTCCTTGTCCTAAACCGGTAGACTGAGCAAACACTATGTTTTTGGCCATGCCCTGGGAACACCAATAGGTAGCTTTGCAACTTTTAATTCGCCAGCTGCCCCTGAGATCATTGCCCTCGTCAGCTTTGATGGAAAACTTCCCTACCAGTATGTACTATACTAAAATACCTTGTGTGGGAAGTGCGAAGCTGCGAGGGCTTGGAGGCCTGGAGGTCCGTAATCCAGAGCCAATCCAGACATTGACTCTCAAGAATTACTAGTAGCACCGACACAGTACTACTGGTAGTACCCCGGCTACCGGTACTACCGGTAGCCAACCACTTATGGGTTTGAAGATTCGATTCTCATTCGAATGACTATTATTGAGTAATGAGTACAAGACTTTAAACTTAGTTAGTATTAATAGTAACTCGGAAGCCATTGAAAATTAACCAGTAATTTTCCGTGATTTTATTAAAACACTATCTACTCATTGTACAGTACAACTGAGTACCGATTACAAGAGAAGCATTGAAGTTCTTTGATGGGTCACAGAGTTCAAGAACGCTTCTTATTCTGTTTCTGATCCAGTCGCCCATTGTTCAGCCCTTTAATTAATTCTCCTAAGCCTCAAACAACCAATCCCAATTGCCAATGTGGTGAGGGTCATCGTCATATCGTCATCATCCATCTTCAACAAGCCAACACTCGTAACTCGTACTGTACATGTAGTCAACTGGTACAGCGTAGCGCAGCCAACAACGCTCAGGTCGTCAATCAATCATCACAAGTCTCAAGTCTCAAGCACCAGGTATACACGCTGACCCACGGAAAGGACAGCAAACAATGATGAATGATGAAAGGCACTGGGCGCGATAACGATGATGTACAGTACCAACGTAGATACCGGTAGAGACAACGACTTTGACGGCGTCGGACTAGGGATCTCGGACAGCGACTGCTCACAGAATCAGCCTCCTTTGCATCATAATTTTCCAGCATCCACCCGTATTGACATGGGATCCTCGAGAAATTTCAATCGAGTAGTTGCAACCATTCCTACTCCTGGTGCCGCTATGGACGCTGCGGCAAACGCCGAATTCCATCCCAGTGTCACGATGGAGCAGCGGGTATCAGAAGACGAGGACACAGCATGTGCTGCTGGCAACGAAGAGCCAGCGGACATCGAGCTCACTCGACTCTGCCAGCCACAACAACATCAACCAACCGATGACGAGGCAACACCACTTCCCAGATCGTCTCCATCTTCGCTCAGATCCTACGAGCAATGGTCGTCAGCATCGATCCGTACTGGGTCCGACAAGCACGACTGCAGCGACAGCGTCACACTATCGGTATCGGCGCAAATTTTATTTGCAGAACTTGTACCACCGCCCCAGCCACTCCCAACCTTACGGCCAACTCGACCTGCAAGCAATCCTGGTGCATATCCCTTCTATGGGGGTTTAACACCAATCACCATCGCTGAGGGACAACATGGCAGCAACGACAACACAACCAATGACATGCCAAGCGCATATGTTGCTACCAATGACGATGACCATCATCAACAGACAGACCTGGGGATACCCCAAACAGACTCAGAGCCAACCAGCACATCAAATCCAAGACCAACCAACTACTGGAGGCGTAAACTACTTCTTGCCCTTTCCCTAGAAACAAACGTGGCTTGCTTTGTGGTGATCATGATTTTACTGTTCTTGTTCATGATATTTCCAAATGGCCCCACGGCAACAGTTCAACAACAAAACGAGCAAGCTATCCGTATTCCTTCCACTCCAGGATTGGCAAGAGCAGCAGCAACACAGGCGCCAACAACATTTCTAGATGGGCTCAATCTACCTGAGTACTCACTCGCAGCCATGGAAAACCCCAGAACTCCTCAGTCCAAAGCATATCAATGGCTGATCAACAACCTCAACAACAAAACTGCCACGTTTCAGCAACTACCAAAATGGAGATTGAGACAAAGGTTTGCTCTTGCCACATTCTACTATTCGACAAGGGGAAGTCACTGGGTGAAGCAACACGGATGGTTGGATTGGGAGATGGATGAATGTAATTGGAAACAATTAGTCTTGGGCCAAGAAGACTCTTCAGAACTGAATTGTAATGACAACGGGGAAATCAAGGCACTGACATTTATGAACGCCAACAACTTGGTAGGAACCCTTCCTCCAGAGATATCTTTATTGGACAACAGCTTGGAATATCTGGAAATTGCTCGACAGGAGGAACTTTCACGGACCATCCCAACCGAAATTGGACTGCTGACAAGACTGGCAAACTTAGAGTTCACTGTAACTGGGTTGTCCGGTACAGTTCCAACAGAGATTGGCCAACTGCAGAGCCTTCAGAATCTTCAATTCGCTATGACACAACTTCTGGGAAGCATACCTTCAGAGGTTGGCCAATTAGGCAACCTATCAGCATTACGCTTCTTAAGAACAAATCTGACTGGTAAGTCGCCAATACAGCATTCTTTGATCTACTGAACCTCAATGAAGTACTCATGTGCTCTGCCAACCAAGGTTCAATGCCCGCTGAGGTGTTCCAATTGCAAAACCTGAAGATTTTCACTGTTGATGGTTGCACGGAGATGAACACAGAATTCCTTCTTCCGAATGTCATTGAAAACATGCATCAGTTGGAATTTCTGTTTCTAAGCAAGCAAACATGTGGGGAAGAGAATCCTTTTCCTTGTAAGTTTCAAAATCAATTTTCTTGACCTTGGTGAAAGCTTGATGTCTCACATGAGTCAATGGCAGCGGGGCTGGGAAATCTTTCAAATATTAGAGCTCTATTCTTGTATGAATGGAAACTGAATGGTACAATTCCCAGTAATATTGGTGGCTTGACAAAGTTGGTGAGCTTTGCTGCGGCAGATTCCTTCAGTGCTGTGCTGTGACCCTGTGACCATGTGACCCTGTTTTTGAGAACTCACACCTATGCCATGCCAACATTAGAATCAGCTTGTCTTACATGGGAACTCAATCTCTGGGACGTTTCCGCAGGAATTATCCAAGTTGTCTGGTGAGTACTGAAATGAGTACTTTACATTCTTTTTCCGTAATTTCTTACCATCATTCTCTTACTTGTGGTATGATATCTATCAGGCCTCCTGATGTTGAACATGGGTGCCAACAAGATCGAGGGCAAGCTTCCACCTGATATCTTTTCAAAACTAACTATGCTCAGACAGGTATACATCAACGACAACAAGCTCTCAGGCAGGATTCCAACTGATGTTGGCCAACTGTCTGGGCTCAAAAAGCTAGAATTGCAGCACACTCGTCTTTCTGGCTCGCTTCCCACTGAGTTGCTTGCTTTGGCCAATTTGACTAGCTTGGTCATCACAGACACAGGTTTGACAGGCAGCATCCCAGTAGAACTGTGTGGCAAGCTACAGCAGCTAGAATTACGATGCTTTGGAGGCCAATACTATGAGGCGGTAATGACCACAAATGCTTCAGTATGCCAAGGAACTTCTCTCTGTGGGTGCAACTGCGCCCCTTGCTAAGTTCATAAATATTATGTCAATTTTACCATGAGGGGATATCTTCTTCCATGCCCCTTGATCCCACTGAGACCAGTCCAGAGTGTTGCCTCGTCTTCTCAAACCTTGGCACACTGCCAGCTTTCGTAGCCTAGTAGCAAATATTCCACTCCATCAGTTCCCTCTTTGCCCTGTGAGAAAGGGCTACTTCTGGTTACATGTAGCGGTACCACCGTACCGATACTGAGAGGGCTTGTGGAGTGCACACCGCCATCGTGCGTCCAAAGAAAAGTATCGAGGGAGAAAAGGTTAGGGATAAAAAAGATACGTATCTTTTGGCTTTCGTCTTTCCTCGTCCTCCTTGTCACAACATCAAAGGATAGCATCGGCAGGGATATATCATCGCAGTTCAAGGCAAAGGCAAGCATGAAGGCAACAAGGAGACTCCTGCTGCATCAGTACGCCTTGGCATGCTCATCGGCGTCTCCTTCCTTTCCGTTGTTTCCAAGAAACGCGTTGGCTCGAACGCATCTGATCTTTGGCGCCAACACGGATGTGGGAAAGACCGTGATCTCGGCCGGATTGGTCCAAGCATCCCTTCGACAGGAGCAACAACAACAACACACTGTTGTTCACTACATCAAGCCATTGCAGTGTGGTGGCAGTGATGAAAAATTCGTCACCAAGCACTGCGGTGGCGACTTGCATGGACGACGACTCCAGCCACAAACACTCTTCAACTGGGAAACACCTGCCTCGCCTCATGTGGCTTGTATCAAGGAAAATATGCCCCAGAGCGATGACACTGTTTTGTCAGCCTTACAATCCGCCTTGGCACAGATTGCCGAATCATCTCAAGAAGAACCCACCGCCACTTGGATTGAAACGGCAGGAGGCGTCCTCAGTCCCTCATCGGCATCACCCGAAAACAACTCGGACTACCATGCCTTTTCCACAGCAAATGGCAGAAGTAGTACTGGTAATAGTGAGCCCAACAATAAGTGGGGGTGGCTCACACAGGGTAGTTTATATCAACCATTGGCACAAATGGCACCCGTTATTCTCTGTGGTGATGGACGATTGGGAGGTACGCGTCGATACTAACTAAATTAGGGGAGGCGATAGGCTTGGAGCTGTACCACTGCGACCTATGGCATTGCATGGACTTCTGATTCTTCCTCGTCATACGCTGTTTTCATTTCATTTCAACAGGTATCAGTGCCACCTTGTCCTCACTAGAGTCGCTCATTGTGAGAGGATACAATGTTGTCGGTATTGTCATGCTGGAAACTGGCTATGATAATGTTTCTGCCCTTCGAGAATATGCCGGCCGCAACGTCAAGCTTCAATCCAGCCAAGGACACATTCTGTTTCAGGATCCCAGCCAATCCATCATTTCTCTGCCACAACTACCACCCGAACCAGAGCCACTTCATGACTGGTATGCTTCCCCAGAGGTGGTCCAAACATTGAATGATTTCAATTCCTTCTTGAGCGACAGCTGGGATGCGGAAGCAGCAACTTCATAACAATCAATTAGCAGGATCGCAAAGCTTCGCTATCTAGCAACTCAATATGAATGTAGACTAATATAGAATCAATCCTAGAAGTACAGGATGCGGCTGCTGGAATAGCGTTTCTAATTTTCATTTGAGAGAAATCATGCTTTGATCTTCTCCCAGTATCCTTCCTTTTCTCGAAACACCATTCGATCTCCCATGGCCTGCTCCATGGTAATGCCACCATGGTAGACATGGATACGAGTATCCGACTCTCGGTCGTCCCTGACGGGATGATCGGCAAAGGGCGTTCGTTCCATAATGACACCACCCACTCGGAGGGAATCCACCATGGCCGCGACGGTATGCTGATATGCCGGAATGTGTTCCAACACATCAACGGCCAGAATGGCCCCCAACGATCCATCTCGTGGCAAGGGACCTTGAATCGGATCAAACTTGTAATCGGTTGCTTCCGACCATGGATGCAGAAAGGTCACCATGTCTTGTAATCCTCGCTTGGCGACACGGAACTGCGCAAAGGACTTTTCAATCATGCCAATTCCAAAATACTGGCATTTCAATCCCCGGTCCATGGCCAAATACAAGCAACTATTCCCCACACCGCCCGAGTAATCCAAAACGGGTTCGTGCAATCCTTTCTGGAGTCGATCCAACAATCCCGTTCGCGGTGGATGAATGGAATTGGCAAAGAGATAACTTTGACTGGTGGAATAGTACCATGCCAGCGCTGTGGGAGTGGTGGGATTCCAAAACAAGTGTTCCTCTTCAAAATGGTAGTGCTCCAATCGCGCCATTCGCACCACCACTTCGTCCATGGTGAGACCGGTAAAGTCGGCCAAATCGTGACAGACGTTGAATCGTTTCGCGGCTGGCTGGTTGCAGGATTTGTCCAATTCTTCGTCCGTGACACCGGGGAGCTGTGTAACAAAGACGTGATTTCGACAAAAGTCCACGTCTTTATTGGTACGAGGGCGATTCATTCGACTATCACTGTCATCTGTTGCTATAGTAGTAGTGAGTACCGGCACCTTGTCTTGGGCCGATTGAAGTCGTTGTATGTATGCTTGAACATTGGGATCCACCGATCGTCGATTGTTGTCACCTCGTACCGGTTCGGACAAGAACGATGGCGGTCGTGTCATTTTGCCGCTGGTGGCCACCAGAGGCCCTCGTAGTAGAATGGAGGGAGAGTCCATCGAAGCAGCAGTAGTTGTTGCAGTAGTAGACAATTTTCGACCATCGACATCCTGTAGTTGCACATCATCGAGCACCTGTTTGGTCAATGTCATGGTGGCACCAAATCCAAATCCGACAAAGAGGAGAGCCGATACCTTGAGCACATTGTGAAAGGCAATGGTCAAGCTCCCGTCATGCCGCTTCCTGGGTGGCATCGTGTCGTCTGATTCTTCCAATGGGGTTGCTGCTGTCATCCGAGGCACTGTGCCGTACGGTTTCATATTCTAAAGAGAGATGCATTCCGAGAGCATTGGTCGATCTGTTCGACCGATCCGTTCGTTGAGCTCGACCAAATTTTGGAACGTTGAGAGACGAAAAATAATTCGAGGTGGGTCGAACGAGTCCTTGCCAATCCCAGTTTGAGTCATTCCGTGAAGGGACTGGTTCGTGCCTTCTCCGACATTGGCGCTTCGCTTGCTTTGCGTTCTTCGGGAGGGCTCGCGATGCTTCCTTTTCGTGCTGTTGGGTGGCAATGACCAAATTCAAAATCCACCGGTGGAAAAGACGAAAGATCGAATTCAATTTAGCATTCTATTCCAGTAGGCTACGGCAACCACAACCACAACTACCAAGCTATTCAGCAATAGACACATACTAGTACAGAGACAATCAAGACAAGATGAGTGGATTTTTCGCCAAAGTGAAGAATGCGACAAAGTTTATCGGCGCGGCGTCTCAAAAGACCAAGCTCAAGGCGGAGATTGCGTACATTGACAACACGATGAAGGGCCGCAAGCAACAATTTGGTGTGGAAATGTACGATTTGATGGAGCAAAAGAAGACATTTGGCGGCAAGACGGAAACGGAGCCGAAAGTGGTGGAAGTCTATGAAGGCGCTGAGAAGGACATGGCCATGATTATCGAAAAGAAGGACGCCAAGCAGGGCGAAATTGACGCGCTGGGCGCCACCAACAAGGACTTGCCCGCCGAGACCATGGGAGAAAAGGCATCCAAAGCCGGCAAACAAGCCAAGGATGCCGCCGTCAAGACCAAAATTCAAGCCGAAATGGCATTGTTGGATCGAGAAATCAAAGCACGCAAGCAGTTGTTTGGAATTCAACTCTACGACGCCATTATGCAAATGGAAGCATATGAGCCCACTGATACAGAAGTCAAGGCCATTCTAGATGCCGCCAAACAGGATATTGGAGAGCAGCAGGCAAAGAAGGATGTCAAACAGGAAGAAATCAATGTGCTAGACGCAGAACAAGCGGCAGCTGGGGAAGCTGTCTCCTCATCGGCCACAGCACCACCTGCAGAAGCGAACGCCACCACCACCACCAATTCGGATGTGTAATTTGGAGGACACTCGAAAAATTCCAAGATTTACTACTGTGTTGTGACAATTCATTGTTGTTGGAGTGATGAATGGAAACGAATGAATGAACCAATAAACCTTTGCTTGTAGACAAATGCCATTGTGGGCTTCCATGTCATGTCCAGTTTTACCAATCGACGACATAAATGACCAAATCAATTTGCAATTACTAGAAAAAACTGGCGTGCCCTCCTGGGTCGTTTCATTTGCTCATTTTTGTTATTACCGGTGGTCTATAATTGTACAGCTTGTGTCGGATCTTGGGATAGGTTGCCTTTTCTGATTTCGCCGCTAGCTAGAACAGCTCCTAGCTAGACTATTTCCGAGGGGTCTCTAGAGGTTTCATCCTTTAGCCAAGATTGTTCGTGTAGATTGAACTATTCCGTGATTTGCTGAGGTTAAATCTGGGGAAATGGCAGGAACTTGTAGTCGACATGCATAATACTGGTATGCTCTCTGAGAAGAGTTGTCTACCGTACTAGTACTAGCTAGCTACTGTACGAGTACTGTTCTGCTGTGGTTGGTATGGTACTGCTAGAAACCCATCGACAGTTTCGCTCAAAAAAATGGCATCGGCACCGTCAATGGGAAAGATGCTACAAATACATGAAACTCGGGCCCCTTTGGGTTGGCAATGGTTCCTGGCACAAATCTAAAAGTGCCCTTGATACTGGCCAGTTTTGTATCCCGATGTGTCGTTCCGGCAACAGGTCCAGTTTGGCTTTGATAGACAAATGCCTTGTCCTCTAACCGATCGCCATCACCATGCGGTCCCATGTCGATGTATCCAGGCAAACCAGTTTCGGAATCCCGGAAGAAAACTGGTTGCCTTCCAACCAGGGCTTCCCCATCAACTCCCCGCACTTTGCCATTTCCATCCATAAACTTCCAGTGTCGACTCACTAGTTGGCACGTGTCAAACTCTGGGTCGGCATCTATCATTCGAATTCGAATAGTGTACCCAAAATTGATCCCCTGTCGTTGCTGATCTTTTAGTCCAGCAGGGAACCAGCGGGCACTGGCCCTGACTTCAATTCCTCTAGTGATGGCACGGCTCATGGTGGGACCTCCATCGGGAAGAAGACCAATCCCAGAAGAGGATGGATCCACGTCAATAAACTGTACTCGTTTGTAAACGCCGGCTTCCAGGTGTTCCACATATTGGCGTAGATAGGTCAAAAAGCCTCCCTGTCCTACTACAGTATGATGTGCCGATCTGATATTATTGTGTGCAAAAGCCAATCGACCTTCTGGATCCTCTGGAGTGGTTTGCAGATAGAGGAATGCGCGCGTTGCTTCGTAGCCCAGCGAAGAAATGGCAAGAACAATCGTTACCGGTACAAAGTTGCGGATGCGGGAAGCAGGATTTCCAAAAATTCTCACTTCCACAAGTCTCATGGAATATTGGACATCATAGCAAGAAAAGCTGCCAAAGAGACTGGAAAAGATATCTTGAACTTGGGGTCCCAGTGGCGATAGTTCCTGCTGTCCAGCACAAACAGAATAGGAGGCAATCAATGACGATGGCAATGGACACTTGTGATAGTTTCGAGCCCTGAACATTCTACTAAATTCTCGACGATCCAAACCAGGGCACAAGGAATCAACCACATTTTGCAATCCAAGTTCTGTCAGCACCGCCCTGCATCGTGCCCACAACGCAATGGCCTCGCGAAGGTGATGAGGTTTGGCTTTTCCATCAGTCCATTGGGTCCAGAACCACCATTTATGATAACAATATTCCAATTGGATGCTTTTCCAGACGGTCAAAGCTCCGACGTTCTTGATGGTAGGTCGGTCCTATCATGTCATGATCATCCTCCTGGAAGCTAAAGTCGCGCCGACACACGATCTTCCAAATGGACTCTTGAGCCAGAGTCTGGAGTCGTTTTGACACAGATTCCAATCGACCTGCATCTTGGTATGTCAAGTAGGGCACAAAATGATGAAAAATGTCCTCTGTCGAGCAGAAGCCCTCCAGGAATTTCGAGCTAGTAATACATGTAGTGGTAACATAGGTATCATTGGAGGTTGAAGCCATGGTCAAGGATGGACGAATAAAGGATTGCTTTGTGGTACATAAATGACCAAAACACCTAAAGTAAAAGAGGGTTTAGGGGCGTGCGGTTGGTCATGCCGGTAGGGGGGTTCACCGAAAGTGTTCGTCGCTGGGAGGAAAGAATGAAAGAATGCAGGGGGGGGACGGAGAGATTAAGCCCGCAGGACTGTGTTTTCTCAAGCACGCTCTGAAGTTTCCGAGAGGCTCCGAGAAGTTCCGAGTTGTTGTTGTGGTCAGCGGTATAGTTGGTCGATTTGATGCCTGTGGGGAAGAAAATGATGCCAGTCTTCATGGAAAGCTCTATCTGACTGTTACTCTCAGAATGAACAGATCGTTTACCTGCCAAAGAGATTGGCAAAGATAGATATCTGTACCGTCACCAAGATTTTGCTCCGCGATGAACAGCACTAACAGCACAGCCCCAACAATCGCTCCAACGACCGCTACCCCCACCGTCTCTCCAACAAATCCGGGAGGAAGGATTGATGATCTACGATGGGCTTGTGGCCGTTCAGTGCCAGATAATCCAACCGGGGTACCCTTGTGCCTTCGTTTGAACGAAGGCGCCAACGTTTTTCTCAATCCTCCCGAGCGCAGCCTGTGCCTAGAACCTGGCAGCAGCAACACATGGTGCTACAATCGCGTCAAAGGGGATTCCGATATCTGCAGCTACTACCTTCGGAATACAACTACTACCGGTAATATTTGGGAGAGCTTTTGGGAGGTTTCCGTAAGTGGCTATCCCTTGGCTCAAGTCTCGTTGGACCCATCGCATGTCGAACCATGTGCCCCGTCCGAATGTATGGTGGAATTCTTCGATCTGACAGGCAGTTCCTTGCCTGGAATTGTTCCTTTCTCCTATGCATGCATTCCTGACTTGTATCCAACAAGTGCTCCTGGAGGTACTTCTAGTACGCAAGAAGGGGTTGGTCCGTTGATGTTCCTGTTGATCATTCCATTTGTGGTGGCAGTTGCTGTAATGTCCACCTTTTGTTGCAAGAAACGTCCTCCCCCAGCCCCCGGTCATAACCCCGAACATCTTCCCCCAGGCCATGCGAATCAGCATCATCGACCACCAGCCCGTGCCCATAATATTATGACCAATCATCCTCACCCCCCTCCGCCGAGGCCCTCAGCGCCACCACCAGTGGCTCTGGCCATTCCAGTGGCCACAGTTGGCACCTCCGTAGCAGAAGCGACACCGATTACCCTCAGCACACGACATCACCATGCATCCATTCCCGTAGCTCAAGTAACGCCACTCGATGATGGAACAGCCTAACCATGGCAGGTAGCAATGACTCGATCAATCACGTCTGTGTGTGTGGCTTTCAAGAAACCCTTGGTCCTGTGGAGGAAACGCAGTGGACCCTCTGGGTAAGAGCGTTGCTCAAGGCACGGAGGAAACAATCTAGCATCCAACTTGCTTGCTCAAAGCAATCATGCTATTTTGACCTGGTGCGCACTACCATCTTCAGCAGTAAGGGTCGCTGAAGGAGATGTAGATGGAAGCAAAGCGGGCTCATGCTACAACCGAGCTACTAGCTAGATATCATACATCTGCAAAGGTTTGTTACTGTGGTATCTGTCAAAAGGACAACCATGAATACACCTGAACAGCTGCCTAAACATATTGTAGTTCCTGAACGCCCACATGAGAGACATGCATACATGTAGCTCGGAATCAAAGGGACCGAGGTAGAGGACACCATTTCGCCCTCTCATGGAGGGTTTCGTACTATTCGCCTTTCAAAAGTAGTGTTCTCGCATCGCCATACAAAGGCTCCCAGCAATCAGGGGTAAGTCCTCCACCAAGAGCCTTTTTCAATACTTGCAAGGTTTGAAGGCGGAAGACACACACCATCTTTCGTTTCGGGCATCATTCAGATTCCCGATTTTCCCAGGTTCGTTGGCTTATGTGTAAGGCTAAGGCTTCCAACGGCTAGCTGGGATCTTTTGCGGAGAGAGCCCAGAGGAAGAAAGAAGAAGGCACGATTTCCAACGTCCACCAATTTCCCGCCGCGAACCCAAGCACAACCATCAAAGCACCTCTCGCCGCAGCAAGAGTTGATCAAGTAGTGACCAGACCAGCATAACAAGTTAGCTAGAACAGAATGAGATCATGGCCTCTTCCTTGCCCAAAAGCACTTCGGAAGACACGTCGCGTCAGCTAATGCAGATGGTGTGGATTGGAGCATTATTCTATGCAATATCCGTCATTTTGAATGCCGCTTATATGATCCGCATGCATGCCATCGAGGAGTATGGGCCCGTTATTCATGAATTTGACCCCTATTTCAACTATCGAGCCACAGAGGTGAGCATCACTTCAAGTTAAGGAGCCATGTATTTGTTGTCATTTGTGCACTGATACAATTTTTTTTCATTGATGCTACCATTAAAATTATTTTTACCCCGTCATTGCTCTCACCCATTTAATAAAACTTCAGTACCTCGCCGCCAATGGCATGCATAAATTCTTCCATTGGTTTGACTACAAGGTGTGGTATCCCTTGGGACGCCCTGTGGGAACGACGATTTATCCTGGCATGCAAGTCACAGCCGTGGCCATTCACAGGTACCTCTTGAGTCATTGGAGTCTCAACGATGTCTGTTGCTACATGCCGGCTTGGTTTGGAGCCATTGCTACCTTGATTACTGGATTGTTGGCCTACGAAGCTTCGCTCCCGCAGAATACCAGCTCTAATTTGATCCAATTTTTGTGGGATATTGTGCAGGGAACCTGCGGAAGAAACCACGTCAAACCTACCAAAAGCAACAATTCATTTTCGAATTTGTCACCAGCATTGGAATGTGCCGTCTTCGCCATGGCCATGATGAGCATTGTACCTGCTCATTTAATGAGAAGTGTGGGAGGAGGATTCGACAATGAATCCGTTGCTACTACCGCCATGATTCTGACCTTTTACTGTTGGATGAGATCTCTCCGAAATGGAAATGATATCAATACTATTGTCGTCTACGGATGTCTCACCGGACTCTCCTACTTTTACATGGTTGCGACCTGGGGAGGCTTTGTGTTTGTTTTGAATTTAATCGGTGTCCACGCGGCCATGTTGGTGGGATTGGGACGATTCTCCGATAAGGTCTGGTTGAGCTATTCGCTTTTCTATTCTATTGGTACGTTGTTGGCCATTCAGGTCCCCGTCGTGGGATGGGCTCCTCTCAGGTCGCTTGAACAGTTAGGACCATGTGGAGTATTTCTTGGATACCAAGTCTTGCAGTTCTGCGAAGTCATTCGAAGACGCAACAATCTGTCCAGAACGGCTGCCTGGAAGCTCCGGATTCAAGTATGTGTGGCATTGGCGGGTGC